CCTCCCTCCCACCCTTCTTCCCCTCCCTTCCTCTCCAGCACCTCCATGCCCCTCCTGCATCCACGGCAAACTCAAACAGTCTCCCCACCACAGTCATCCATCCTTTGCTCCTGCCCCAATTGACCTTGTCCATATGGACCTCTGGGGACCCTCCCCCACCCGCTCACGCCTAGGCCATCGCTACATGCTGGTCCTCGTAGACGACCACAACCGCTATTCCTCCATTTTCCTCCTCCACACGAAAGACCAGGCGCCGACTGTGATCACCCACTGGGCAGAGCAATGCTGCGCCCACTTCAAATGTCCCATCGGCCGCCTTCACTCTGACGGTGGCGGCGAATTCCTCAATCGCACCCTCTCCCACTACTGCGCCACCCATGGCATCCAACAGACTCACACCCTACCCCACTCCCCGCAGCAGAATGGTGTCGCAAAAAGCCGCATTCGCAAAATCACCAAAATCGCTCGTTGGCTCTTCGCTCACGCCTCCACCCCTCCTTCCCTCTGGAGCTATGCTCTCCTCCATGCTGCCCTCCTCCTCAACCTTCACTCCCATCCTCAACACACTGCCATCACCCCCACGGAACTCTGGTCGGGCATGAAACCTGACGCTGCCGGTCTCCGTGTCTGGGGCTGCAAGGGATACGTTCTCATTCCTCCTCCTGACCGCACCCACGGCAAGCTCGCCTCTCGCGCCCTCGAGTGTGTCTATCTCGAACACAACCGCGACTCGCCTGGCTACCTCTTCCTCCACCCTCCCTCCGGTCGCCTCATCCGTAGCATTGACATCGTCTTTGACGAAACCACCCCGTACTACTCTCCACCATCAGACCCTCCTACCCATCCCCTCGCCTGGACTGACACTGTCCTCCCTCCCCTCCTCCCTCCTGCACCTCTACTACCACCTATCCCTGCTCCACCTCCACCACCCTCATCTGCTGACATCTACGATCCTACTGCACCTGCTTCCCCTGCCCACTCCGCCGCCCCCCCTCTCCCCTTCCCCTCCTCCCCTCCCTCTCCCTCATCCCAGCAGCAGCAGCAACAGCAGTAGCAGGGGCAGCAGCCGGGGCAGCAGTAGGGGCCGCAGCCGGGGCAGCAGCATCAGGAGGAGCAGCAACCGCAGCAGTAGCAGCAGGGGCTTCTACAGCACCAGCAGCAGCAGCGGCAGAGGGCCACTGCTCGCTCCTCACCCTTCCTCCTCCCTCGCATGCACACCCGCTCCCTTGATCCCATCCTTGGCACACCGCCCTCTCCCTCCCTCAACCTGCTGAAGGACTTCCATGAGGAACTCACTATGGTCCAGCGCCACACTCCCTCTCTCACCCCGCTCTACCCTGGCTTCCTCGGCGCTCTTATCTTTGCCGCAGTCTCCGCTCCCACCATCTTCGTCCCCTCCACCTTCTAGGAGGCTATCACCTGCCCAGATGCCGACAAATGGATAGCCGCCACCTTCCTGGAATGTGAGGCCTTCATCCGCAACGACTCTTTCGTCGACGTGCCCCTCCCCCCTGATGCCAACCTTGTCGAGGGCAAGTGGATCTTTCGAGTAAAGCAGCTGCCGGGAGAAGAACCAGTCTACAAGGCCCCCTATGTTGCCAAGGGCTTCACACAGACTTGGGCTGAGGACTACTGGTTCACATTCGCCCCTACCGTTAAAGCCCCCACCCTTCGCACCCTTCTCAACATTGGTGTGCGTGACAGCATGGAGGTTGACTCCATGGACGTCTCCAACGCATTCCTGCAAGGCGACTTGCACGAGCGTATTTTCCTACGCCGGCCTCCCGGGTTTCACGCTGCTTTCCCCGACGATACCGTTTGGCAACTACGTCGACCGGTCTACGATCTGAAGCAGGCACCACGAGAATGGCATGCAAAGCTGTCTGCCACTCTCCAGTCCCTTGGTTTCTGTGCCTCCCACTCAGATGCCAGCCTCTTCATCCGCTCTTCCCCTCGTCACTTCTTTATCTCGGTCTACGTTGACGACATGATCCTGCTCGCTGATTCCAAGACCGACATGGACCGGGTGAAGTGTCCCTTCAGGAACGTCTCAAGTGCAAGGACCTTGGTCCGCTGCAGAACTACCTCGGCATGACCATCACCCGTGATCGACCCGCCCGTACCATCACCCTCTCCCAGTCCCATTACATCGGCCAGGTGCTGGAGAAGTTTGAGATGGCGCAGGCCAAACCGGTCTCCACCCCCCTCCCCTTCGGTCACCAGCTCGCGCCACCCACCCCCCCCTCCGCCTCCTGCCGCCCCTATGCCGAGCTCGTTGGGTCGCTAATGTACGCGATGATGTGCACTCGCCCCGACCTTGCCTACCCCATCAGCGTCCTAGCTGTCAACGGGAGTTGTAAGTTGGCCTCGTCCTCGCTTGGGCGGAGCTGACTTCGTGGTGGGATGTGAGGGGAGCAGCCGACCTGCAGCAGTGGGCGAGCTGGTTGACGAAGAGGTCGACCTGCACGGGGACCATTGCATGGGCGCCGACTTCAGGGTAGGGTGGCGCCGACTTCAGGAAGGTCGACTTGGGGCAGCCGACTTCGGTGGTCGGCTGACGGACTGCTGGTTGACCTAGTGGTTGGTCGACCAGGCATGCTGGTCGACCTGCTGGTGGTCGACCTGACCTGGTGGTGGACGAAGGAGGGGCCGACGTCGACCTCGACTCTAGACGCCGAGCAGTTGGGCGTCGAGTAGTAGGGCGTCAACTTGGTGACGCCGACTTCGGGTAGCCGACTTCGGAGGTCGGCTGACAACTGCGCTGGTCGAGGAGGAGCTGGTCGACCAGGACTGCTGGTCGACGTGGAGCTGGTCGACCAGAAGTGACGTCGACCTGGAGCTGGTCGATCAGGGGCGTGGTCGAGCTGGTGAGGTCGACTTGGAGGAGGCCGTTGACTTGGAGGAGGCCGTCGACTTGGGAGGTCGACGGGCACGTACGAGAGCAGCTGGTCGACGTGGTTGCCCGGTCGACCAGGTTACCTGGGTGACGAACTTCTGCGGAGGAGTGCGACAGTCGCTCAGGCGAAGTTGGCGAGTTCGACCTCGGTGGTGGTATCCCGAGGTCGACGTGGCTGATCAGATGCAGTCGTCAGCGCCAGGTTGACTTGGTGTGTGCGCTGTGCAGGTGACAAGGCTCAGCACACCAATCATCTGCGAGCACCTGCGAAGCTGGTGCGATGCTGTACTGCGGGAGCTACGCTGGCACGCCGTCAACCTGCAGCGTTGGCACGCCGTCGATTTGGCACTGCTGCAGCGCGGTCGACCAAGTCGTGCTGGAACGCGACCGACCATGCTGTGCTGGTAGTCGACCGACCTGAATGCTAGCTCTGATGTAGTCTTGCCATGCCAACTTCATTAAGACCATTGTTGTCAACTTTCCCTAGTGTGAAACTCTTGTCAATTTGCCCCGTGAACTAGCAAGCAGTGTGTGCAGTAGGCAAACGACTAAGGATCAACGAACGCAGAGATCACACGAGCACCCATGCCTAGCCCGTAGTCTAACTCCCGTTGTAGTAGTTATCTCCGCACTAGCTCGATTCGTCGGCTCCGGCCGCCACACTGAGGAACACTGGACTGCCGCGAAGCGAGTTCTCCGCTACCTTCGGGGCACCAAGGATCACGCCCTCACATTGGGTGGTTCCTCCCCTCCCCTTCTCTCTGGCTTCGGCGACTCCTCCTGGGCGGACTCCCAGCCGGACCGCCGCTCCTCGCAAGGCTATGGCTTCACGCTTGGCAGCGGGCTTATCAATTGGCGGTCTACTCGCTCATCTGCCGTTGCCCTCTCCTCCTGCGAAGCCGAACTCTATGCTGGCACCATGGCTGCACAGGAGTCCCGTTGGCTCTGCTTTCTTCTTGCCGAGCTTGGTGCCCCTCAGCGATGTCCCACACTCTGGTGTGACAACGCCAGCACCATCCATCTCACCCAGGACCCCGTCTTTCACGGCCACTCCAAGCACATCGAGCTCCGCTACTTCTTCATCCGTGACCTCGTCCAGCAAAGCCTCATTGCTGTCCGCAAGATCGTTGCTGAAGCCAACTTGGCTGATATCTTGACTAAAGCCCTTCTTCGCCCTGCGCACTCTGCTCTTCTCCGTCTCATCGACCTCGCCCCTCCCGGCGCGCCTTGATTCAGGGGTTGCTACTCTCAAGCCTTTCCGCATCTCTGCAGGTTAAGGGGTTGTGTTAGAATATCTCTCCTCTTGTAACCTGCATACATGCTATAGGATAGGCTAGAGATAAGCACCCAAACTTAGTTTGGGTGTACAAACAGGGTAACCCAGTTTGTAGGTTGGAACCCAACCTTGGTCCAATTATTGGACCCCAAAAGGTTGGGTTGGGTAGAATTATTGGCTCCCTCCAATAAAGTTGGCCCAACCCCAACTTGGCCAACATTATTGGACCCCACCAATAATTACCCAACCCAACTTCTTGGTTGGGGTCCAATAATGCCAACCTAGGCTAGTATCCAACCCCCTACTATGTATACCCCCATGATTCTCAATCAAAGCATTAACTTCTATTCTAACTCTTGTTTCCCACACACCTTCCATCTTCCTTCCCTTTGCCAAATATCTCTTCCCTTCTCCCCTCTTCCCCTCCTCCCCTCCCCCTCCCCCTCCCCCTCCCCCTCCCGCCTTCCCTTTCCTTTCCTCCCTCCTTCCTTCCTCCCCCGTCCTCGTCTTCCCCCCACTCCCCCTCTTTCCCCCGACCCGAACCCCCCACGCCCTCCACCCACCACCATAAGGTACTGCCCTATCGCGGGCCTCTTGACAACCTCAGGGGTGGAGAGCAAGGGGTTTTGAGTCGACTCAAAAGCCGTCCTCGTCTTCGTCGCACTCCCTTCTTCCCCCCCCCCTAAACCCCCACGCCCTCCACCCACCGCCATCAGGTACTGCCCTATCTCAGGCCTCGCTGCAGCCTCAGGTGTCCCCTCCCCCTTCCCTCCCGCCACCCCCCCCTCCCCACCCCAAACCCCCACGCCCTCCACCCACAACCACCAGGTACTGCCCTAACTCGGGCCTCGCAACAGCCTCTGGGGTGGAAAGCGGTTCAGAGGGGCTGGCGGTGGCGGTGGGGCAGACGCACAAGCAGCCCATTCGGCCAGTCCCTGGAGAGGTGCTTTGTGCTGCTGTCACTATCGCTTGTGCCTTGTTTTCATTCTGCTTGTTTTTCGCTTTCACTTTCACTTGTGTTTCTCACTTTTGATTGTGTTTTTCCCTTTTGCTTTTCGCTACTAGCTGAGCTGCCACCTGTACTTGTTACTGTAGTTGTCAGTTTTTATTGCGCAAGCAACCCACTCTGTTCTCACTGTCAGCTCCATCGTTCTCCGGACTTAGCGCTTCTCAAACTACTCATTACTCACCTCCCTTCTGCGACTGAATGTGCGGTGCGGTGCTGTGCGGTGTTCTGCGGTGTCATTGCTTTTGCTTTTTCAAATGCATCATTCTACAGGTCTTTGCGCTTCGCAAGCTGCTTCCAACCACGATTGCCTATGACTTCAACATTCATGTAAGGGGTTGTTTCAAACAGCAATCTTTTGCTTGATTTGTTCTGCATTTTTTTTCTCTTTTGGAAACAAGCACGAGAGTTACTGCCCTTTACGTTCAACACTTCGTCTGCTCTTTTGCAGATCATGGACTTTGAGCCGGGGGAGTTCCTAAATGTCGACTCAAAATTCATCCCTTTGCGTTGAACACCCCCCGTGCTCTCTGCAGATCATGGACTTTGAGCCAGGGGAGTTCCTAAATGTGAAGGTTAGTTTGGCTTCGTTTTGAGTCGACTCAAAACTTCCTAAATGTGAAGGTGAATGTGGCTTCTCAAGGTGATAATGCAAGTATATTGTGACACATGCTCAAGGTAATAGCTGGCAGTAGTCAACGTAGTAGTGTAATTGGACGTCCCTGTTCCTATGTAGTTGCTTACACATGCATGCTCCTTTTGAGGCGCCTCAAAAGTCGTCTCAAGGTACTAGCTGGCAGTAGTCAACATGTGTCAACATGTTAGTGTAATAGGACGTCCCTGTTCCTATCTGGCTGCTTATGCATGGATGTTCCTTTTCAGTCGAGCTGAAAACTGAGTACGCATCCTTGCTCGTTTTGAATAAATTCAGGGTTGGCCGTCAAGGTGGCTTTCCGTCTGTCCCTCCCGTCCTCGTACCCTTCTCCCCAGCCACCCTTTCTCTCTCCCTTCCTCCCTCAGTCCCTCCCTCCCTCCTTCCCTCCATCCCTCACTCCCTCCCTCCCTCCCTCCCTCCCTCCCACCCTCCCTCCCTCCCTCCCTCCCTCCCTCCCTCCCTCCCTCCCTCCCTCCCTCCCTCCCTCCCTCCCTCCCTCCCTCCCTCCCTCCCTCCCTCCCGCCCTCCCTCCCTCCCTCCCTCTCTCCCTCCCTTCTCTCCCTTCCCTATCTTCTTCCCTCCTTTTTTCTCTCCCTGCAAAACAGGAAGTGCATTACAATCAGCACGGGCTGCTGCTGCTGGAAGGACGGGGCATCTACCGTTTGGCTGATAGCTGGTGAGGAAAAAGCGTTTGAGGCAACAGCTGGTGAGGCAATAGCTGGTGAGGCAATAGCTGGTGAGGCAATAGCTGGTGAGGCAAAAGCGTTTGAGGCAACAGCCGTTGACGGTGAAATGCAGTGCACGCGTCTTATGCTTTGATACAGGGCTTTGCAGTGAGGAAATTATGCGGCTAAGAAAAATCTTAACAACGCACTTGAACCAAGCATGTGAAGCTGCAGTTTCTAAGCATTCATCCAAATACTGCAATTCTGTTTCACTCTGTATGTATTTGCAGGTATCCGGTCCAAGCAGGCGACACAATCTGGATGGCCCCGTTTGTTCCCCAGTGGTGAGCAACCTTACCTTATGATACATATTCAAATTATATCAATAACACGCATGTGTCATGGAACTCTTGGTTGATTACCATGAATCTTTACTCCCTAGCGGTAAGTTTTTCTCTAATGAACTGTTTGTTTCTACTTTATCTCAGCTGTAATGATAATCGCTCATGTTTCTTAAACACAAGTGTTTTCTCGCCTCCGCTCTTTCTCATCACACCTGCTTCTCAACTCTTGTGTTTTCCTCCTCACTGGTGTTTCCTCGTCTCTCGTGTTGTTGAGCCATGCAGGTATGCAGCCCTCTGCAAGACTCGATCTCCTTTATAAGGACGTCAACGGCGACCCGCTGCTCCATCCATCCATTCTAAGCACCCATGTTTTCTCATCTCCCCTGTTTGAGCCATGCAGGTATGCAGCACTGGGCAAGACTCGGTCAAGATATCTCCTTTATAAGGACGTCAACCGCGACCCGCTGCTCCATCCGTCTTGTTGATATGCTTCTGACATATAGCCATCCCTTCTACATACAAAATGCTTCCCTCATGCGTGGGGGAGAAGGGGAGGTGGGGGGGCGGAGGGGAGGGGGTGCGAGGGAGGGCGAGAGAGGGGGAAGTATTTGAAAAACTCTGGTACAGAGCCTTCCACAGTACAGCATAGCTGTGCTGAACAGTATTGCTTCTCAGCAATGCAGACTTACAGAGAAGTTAGAAAAACACTTCTGGTCCTAATTGCTACAAGTAGCCCTTATGCTCACTCAACTGTTCACGTTTAAAATTTTCACGGATCTCGATAGGAGCAGTTGGCGACGTTCTCGGGCAACAGCCCAAATATTACAAGCCCTTGTCAAAAGCATGGTTTTATGGCCGCGAACAAGTTAGCAGGTTTTTAGAAACAAAACGAACTGGACCACCTGGAATTACGGAACTGCAGTTTAGGTGGTGACCTCATTACTACGAACAAGCCAATTTGCAAATGATTGTCTTGTGTGTGAAATAGGAGCACAATGCAATAGGTATGTGGAACAGGAGTGGAATGAGAAAAGGAGCATTTAGAAAGCTTGCTTTCTTGCATGTAGCAATTGGCATCGTCTCATTTCAAATGGGTTTAGTACAATTGAAATCCATAGTGATATTACAAAGATATGCCTCTATGTTCCTACGGCTATCCTGTTTCCGAGGGGGGGGGGGGGGGGGGGGGGGGGGGGGGGGCGGGAAAATCGGCTAAACCGTTTGAAAATGAGAGACGTGGGTGGAGGGAAATGACCTCCAGCCCACGTTTTGTACTCCAAAACGGGCCTTTAGCGCGGCTCGACGCTGCCAAATCCTACATTACAAGCAGCTTCGCTTTCAAAATACATAATTTTGAAAAGCGCTACAGTTTTTAAAAATATACATATTTAGAAAGCTTGCTTTCTTGCATGTAGCAATTGGCATCGTCTCATTTCAAATGGGTCTTCTGAGACATGTGTCGTGCTGGTTGGCGATGTCGTGTCAGCGCCGCGGAGTGTTGCGTCGGTGACGAGGCTCTCGCCGGATCTTGGACATGTCGAGATGCTCCAACCAACTGTTCTATCGCCGGAGTGATGTACATCTCCTTGGCCGTATCGCTGCGCCACCTCCCCATCTGTTTCAAAATGCGATCAGGTACTCCTGCGTTGGCGGCGACGGTTGCTGCGCCTTTGCGGAATGAGTGGGTTACGAGGTGCTCGAGTCCTAGGCCAATCTTGTGAAATGCCTCCTTGCACCAGTTGCGGATTGTTGTATAGGAGGGTGGTGTTGTCGTACTAACGCGACCCGTAGTGTCTGAACCAAAGACTCGTATCAACGGGTCGTATTGTGCGCGGCCATAGCCTGCCAACTGGATGAAGCGTTTGGTGCATTGTACGGGGCAGAAAGGGCCCGGACTGGCGGCTACTGGGACCCATGCGCCTTCTCCTGCCTGGTCTGTTTTAGAGTGGGGGATCAGGAGCCACATAGCTTCTTTCTCGAACTCAATCTCGTGCCAATTGAGTGCGACGATGTCTGAGTATCGCAAGAAGCCGGCGTACATGAGTAGTGGGATGAGCCCCTTCTGAAACTCGCCCGGGTTGTTCGATTTCAGGAATTCCGCCGCCATTGCATTTACTTGATGTAGCGAGACGGGATCCTTGAGTCGTTGAGGTCGCGGACAATGTCGCTTGGCGAAGTCTCGCACATTGGATGTGAACGGCTCGGTCGACGGGCACGTGGCCCCAATCATCCCATGCGCGAAGCTGACTGCCGAGCATGTCAGTTGTATTGCTGATATGGTGGCCTTCTGTTGAATCGCGTGGACCAGGTATAATGCGAGTGTCATGTCTGTGCATGGCAGGAACTGCAGTTTCACGTCTATGCAGAATGCTCGGAACTTGGCCCAGTATGGTTCGTAGGTGCGAATGGTGGAGTCAGCCCTTGTATGCGTCATTATCCGAAGCAACTCTTGCTTGAGCCGCTCGAGCAATCCTGCACCAGATGTGTGAATGGTCAGGTGGCGAAGGACACTTGTAATGCAAGAATCGGGCTATGAGGCAATCCTTCCCTAGAAAATGCGTGAGTGTGGGTGCCTGCTGTCAGGCACTTGCTCCCATGGGTGAGGCAGATATGAGCGAGAATGCAGGCGGCCCATTGGGGCGGGGCGGGTTGTAGTAACGGCCACCAGCTTGCCCCTGGCCAATGAGGCACGACGAGCGTGAGCGATGCTCGCGTCCTTTGGACGTGATGCAACACCGCTGGGATGGATGGGGTGGCGGAAACGCATATGCATGCTCGGGGGCCCATGATATGGAGAAGGCGTCCGTTGCCTCTGCGTCAGGGTGAGGAGTTTTGGAGCAGAAGCGAGCCAGCTGGGTGTTGTTCGCATTGGCAAATAATGTTGAACAAGAATGAATGAACTAAGCGTGAAATGAGTACAAGTATGAAAACCTAAGAATGTGTACACCCTATAGGCTAACCCACTGTAGCCTAAACAACTACAACAACAGATATAATGTTTGACACACCCCCATAGGCGAAGTGGGGGAGAACTAGGGGTCACAAGACCAGTCAAGTAAAGCAAAACAAAGCAAGCTCAGGGTGGATCACAACGTCACCACACAATCCGAGCACAAGTGTAAGGCCACAAGGCCAGTTCACATGAAGGAGTACAGATATATATATAAGACTAAACAAGCAAGAGCAGTGATATATATATGTAACAGTACAAAGAGGGTCAAGAGGAGAGCAAGTGAGGCAAGACAGACACAAGACCCAGCTGGGTACAGCAGCGCTGATGATCACAAGGCGGAAGTGCCTTGGTGAAGACATCAGCAGTGTTGGCCTCAGAGGCCACGTACGCAAGTCGCAACTGACCACGCTGCTGTAGCTCACGAGCAAGGAAGTAGCGGAGAGCAATGTGCTTTGTTCTGTGCTCCAGTCTCTGCTCGCGACACAAGGCCAGCATGGCCTTGTTGTCGACGTACAGGACTGGAGGAGAACGAGGCGGCTCTCCAAGATCGGTCAGCAGGTAGGTGAGCCAGCGAAGCTCCTGAGCAGCCATGGCCCCTGCGTAGATCTCAGCCTCACAACTGGAGCCAAGAACAGAAGACGAGCGAGTAGCCCGCCACGAAACAAAGCCGGAACCAAGGCTGAAGGTGTAACCCTGTGACGACCGCTGCGTAGCCTGGTCGTCAGCCCAAGAAGCGTCTGCGTGTCCAGTGAGGACCACTGGACTCCGCCCTCCAAGCACTAGCCCCATGCCCGACGTACTGCACAAGTAGCGCAACACCCTCTTCGCTGCAGCCATGTGCTCTGGTCGGTGTCTCCCAGGAGCAACATAGCGTGCAAGAATGCTAAGAGGGTATGCAAGGTCAGGTCGTGTGCAGGTCATCAGGTACATGAGACAGCCAACAAGCTCTGGGTACGGGCCACTCGACTCTACGGACTCATCCGAAGGCAGAGCTGAGAGCGAGTGGCGAGTAGACAGAGGAGTGGCCTGAGGCGAGGAGTACGTGAAGCCGAAGCGCTGAAGGACCTGCTGCACCATGTGTGACTGAGTCAGGGTAATGGTGCGGCGTGCTCTGTCCCGGGTGATCTGCAAGCCAAGGTAGCTACGCAGTTCACCCAGGTCAGTGCACGTGTGTCTCTTCTGCAGCTCGGACTTCACGTAGGCGAGTCCAGTAGTGTCAGCTGTGGCAAAGACCAAGTCGTCGACGTACACGAGGATGTAGAACGGCGGCAGAGAGGTGTCAGTGCGCAGAAACAGCGACGGGTCGGCAGTAGACGGAGCGAACCCAAGAGCCGCAAGCGTAGTCCTCAGTGTGTCGTGCCACTCACGTGGCGCTTGGCGGAGACCGTAGACTGGACGCCGGAGACTCCACTGGGTACCAGGAGGGAAAGACCCAGTGAAGCCAGGTGGGCGGCGCAGCCAGATCTCCTCATGCAGGCTGCCCTGCAGAAAAGCTGTGCTGAAGTCGAGAGAGTGCAGCTCGTAGTCCCGGTGAGCAGCAACGTGCAGCAGTACCCGAAGAGTGGTCATCTTCGGGGTGGGGGAGAAGGTCTGAAAGTAGTCAACTCCCTGTCGCTGACTGAAGCCACGAGCCACGTAACGCGCCTTGAAGACAGGCGGAGAACCCGGCGGCCGCTTCACCCTGAAGATCCACATGCCACTGACGATGTTCGCCCCAGGAGGGGGGACAACGTCAACGTAGGTGCCTGTGGACTTCCAGGAAGCCATCTCTGCATCCATAGCTGCCTGCCACTGAGAGGAGTAGGGACCCTCTATCGCCTCCGCGTAAGAGCGCGGAGTCGGGATGTCAAGTGCATCCGGGTCTCCCTCAAGGGTAAGCAGTACGGACACGAGATGAGGTGAAGCAGCTGCCAGACACTGGAACTCCTCCTGCTTGTCCTCAAGGACGTCCGTGCCAAGGGCACACTCACCCCCGACGGACGAAGGACAGACAGACTCAGACTCAGCGACAAGACTAGCAGCGTAGTCTAAGCGACAGCGAGCAGCAAAGTCGACGAGCTCAGTAACGAGAGCAGACGCAGTAGTAGACTCGAAAGAAGGGTCAGTGACAACAGTAGCAAGGAGACGCGTGACAGTAGGACTGGCAGCACGAAGAGAGTCCGACTCAGGGTCGGCGAGAGTAGGTTGAGAGGACGCAGGAGGAGAAGGCAAAGGGGCACGCAGAGGAGCAGTAGACGGACGTAGAGACATCCGGTGCGTGCCAGGGGCAGGAGGAGGACGCTGGCGCGAACTACGAGCACTAGCGCTAGCAGGACGGACAGGCGACGCCGGACGAGACGCAGACTCACGACGCTCAGTAAGACCGCCAGTAGGACCAGTGTAAGGAGAAGGAGCAGGTAGTGGGGAGGCCGGCTGCGACTGTAACTGTGACGGGACAGGCTGTGAACACGCTAAGGGAGGAGGACCAGGAGGAGGCGAGAGACCAAGAACCTGCTGAAGGAGCGGAACGAAGTACGGCTGAGGGCGCGCGGC